TTTATTTGCAAAAAAACTGGCACTGCAATGTTGAAAAGCAGTGGTGAGAGGATGAATCCTTGCCTGTTCCTTACCTTACAAGAAGGCTTCTGGTTTCTCTGTGCCGAGGATGGTATCAGTTACAGGCTGTTTTGTATGTACTCTTTATTAAATTTAAAAAATTGTCTTCTATTCCTAGTTTATTGAGAGTTCTTTTAAAAAAGAGATAAGTGTTGAATTTTTATAATGCTTTAACCACAAATATTGGCATAACCATGTGATTTTTCATCTTTATCCTTTGGCTAAATATATTGTATTAATTGATATTTGAATTCTAGACCAGCCTAATGTACCTAGGTTATATCTCAGTTGGTCATGGTGTATGATTATTTTTATACATTGTCAGAATGAGTTGCTAACAGTTTGATGAGAATTTTTGTTTAATCAGAAATTAGAAGTCCTTCTGACTCTCACTTAAAAGAATGTTAATAATTTCAAATTCCTGAGAAAGATCTGTAATGCCCTAAGTGTTTGCTCTTGTCATGTCTTGGGCTTTACTTTTTTATATCTACTATGTTTAGTTGTTCCCTTTATTATTTTGTGACTGTGTTACAGGACACATATATGATACATTCTAACTATGCATATGTTTTTTTGTTTCATTAAATCTATATCTCCAATTAATAGCATGAAATATGAAATAAATAGATGTTCTAAGATTGCTCAAGACACTAATGAATAAATAGATAAATAGCTAGTTTCTATGACTACATGAATCTTGCAAAAACATCTCTAGTCCCAAACAAATAGAGACAATTGAGTATTAGATAAATGGAAAAAAAAAAACATTGGTCAGACAATGTGGAACTAAGTGATAAATTCATCTTCAGTGAAATTAATTAACATAACTGATATATTATATTTGCYAACTATCATTCTGACAAGGTTTCCATTTCTAAAACTTTTTATGTTGCATCCTTTTTAGCATAGTAATGTGATTCATCTGCTGGCATATTTACAGGTATAAACTTATGTGAATTCCCACTGAATGTGATTAAGGAAAAGTCATTATTGSATACATTCCAGTTGCAGGACTCTATGGTTAGAGTGGTTTCTTGGTATAAAAACTACAGTGATCTTCACCCTGTCAGGTAAAAGATGCTGCCCTTCAAGGACCTGATATAATTATTGGAAAAGATGCTTCACTATGCTTAAAGCATGATCTACATGGAGAAATATAATCCTGTGTCCTAATTTCTAGCACAAGYATTTGATTATACCAATACCTGCAGAATCTCCCTATAGAGCTCAAAGATAGTTATTACTAGAGTTACTGGAAAAGAACTTAAAAACAAAACTTTCCTTGTTAAAAAAGATTAGTTGCTATGGTCCTAAAATAACATGTGATTTGTTTGCCATTTTGAAGAATTATTGCATTTTGGAAATTTTTAATTTTCCCATTTTCACCACGGAATTCCTTTGAAATCAACAATACTGGTAATGATTTTCTGCAAACTTTAGAAGACTAGGGATATTGGACAGACAGGTATATTTTGCATATATTGTTTTAAGTATATCCACAGAATTAATATAGCCTTTTTCTTTTGCACGATTCCTGGGTTGAAAGGGATTTTCACCTCTTTACTAGTGTACCCAGAGGAGCAAGTGTCATCTCATCCTTGAACTTTAGCATAAATATCACCTTTAAAAAGGAATTATCTAATTACCTTATTCAAAAAGTGTCTCACTCTTATTTTATTCTTTCACAATAACCTGTTATTGTCCAATCAAAGATTAAAGCTACAGTTTTTAGTTACTCCCACTATTATTTTGTGACTCCGTTAGAAGATGTAAAGTTGATTCAGTTAGGACTATATTCTTATTTTATTCTTCCATTTTATTAACTATTGTATCACCATCTAAGATCATGTTATCTGGAACAAAATAGATGCTCTTTATTTATTTTTATTTTTTTTAACCAGGGATCAAACTTAGGGGCATTTTCCCATAGAGCCACCTCCCAGGATCTCACTGAGTTGCTTAGTGCCTTGCTGTTGCTGACGCTGGCTTTGAACTCATAATCCTCCAAGCAGCTGGGGTACAGGTGTATGTCTCAGTACAGGCTGCTCTTTAGTTTTGTAGAAAAACAAAGAATAAAGAGAAAAACCATATAAATAACTAGTTACTACAGCTGCATATACTTCTAAAATATATTTAACGTCAAACTCACATACAGAAAAGTGAAATTAGATAAATATAAAATGAAAATTTCTCTGATAAAAGAAGGAATAAGTGATAAACTCATCTTCTGTGGAACAAATTAATGGAACTGATATTTTGTTCTTGATTATTTGTCCCATAATGTTTCTGAAAATATTTTTTCTTGTTACATCCTGTGACTCTATTTCTGTGTTTGCTGTATTGCATCTTGAAACACAGATATTCTTTAAAAATATATGGAGAGTAAATAAGCAAGGATCAGTTTGGACATCTTCCAGTTRCAGGGCTCCATGATTAAAATGTGTTCATGGCATAAAATCTTTATAAATATTTGTCTCTGTCAGGTAAAAAAAAATATTTCTTCTTTTAGTAACAGTTATAATTTTTTAAAACTATGGTTTATTATTCTTAAAGAAGGATTTTAAAAGGCACACAAGTATTTTATCCATATACAAAGCACAAGTGTTTGGCCTTAGTAAGATAAGAGGAGACAGATTAAAAAGCTGAATAGTATCTATTAAGGTAGTCAGAAAAGAAACTAGAAAACTTTCCTTTTTTAAAAATACTAGATGTTATATTCCTATGACAATTTTTTTGCACTTTTATTTAATTGTTTTAATATGGAAAATTTTAGTTTTTTACCAAGAAATTCCTTTGTAGACCACTACAACCACTAATTATTTTCTGCAGGATTTAGAAGACTCCAAAGAAAATGGACAAACATAGTTGTGTGATTTTAAATATAATCTCCAAGAATAACACAGCTTTTTTTCTTCTGTGTGCATACTGGATAGAAGTAGGATTACTCCTTATTTCAGAATGAGATCAAACTTCCTYTTTCAAACTGCAGACAAGCTTCCAAAGGTAAGACTTTCTAGTCAGTAGAAGAAATCAGACTTTGAGATCCTGGGAATGTTTCATTACCCAGGAAATTGTATCACTCAAGCATGTAAGAAAATATTGATAAGAACTTCTGCAGGTGGTAAGTGGCTGTTCAGATTGTATAAAATAGTCATCAGATTTAGATTTAAAATATTGAAAATTTAAGTCAGGGCCCATGTTATATCTTCAATCAACACTGTTGCTTCCATCTGGAGAAGTAGAAGGCCCAGAGTGAAAAGAAAATTTATCAGTCATCTTGAAGATTTCTCTCCTTTAATGTCATGAGCCCATAGTAGACCCTGGGCCTTCATGAGCTAGTTGACAATCTGATGTCTGAAGTTTATCTCAGGTGAAGAGTAAGACACAATATAGTGTTCTATGAACACCTGCTGGTTGGATAAATTAAAAGACTGAACATAACACACATCTTTGTACAATAATTACTGCTACTTCCAAATTTGTGATGTTTCTGTTCTCTAAGATTAGCATCTGTCAAAGAGTCAACGGTAGATATGGTAGGGACTGTTGCAGTCGACAGGGTATGCAAGAAAGGGGAATGAGAAGATCACATTAGGAAGATATTTTGAATAAGAAGCCAAGGGGAACTGAAAAATTTATACATAAGCAATGTGAGAGGAATAAAGGAAGTTTGAACACTGCGCATTTGACCTGAAGGATAAGACAGGAGGAAATAGCCTTTTAGCATGAKAAATCCTGGAAGGAATAGATTTATTGTAGAAAATACAATATTTGCTTTTGTAATAATGAAAAGGTCATCTACTGGAAGATATCACTTAAATAGTTGCAGATATCACCTTAAAAAGGGGGGTGTGATAATATAGTAGATATGCAATTCATTGTGTTTTAGTTTAGAATCATGTGGACTACTCAACCAAAGACTCCAAACCAAAGTGTTTTTAGGGTTTGTCAAGCTGAGACTGATAATTCCTGGTTTGTMAAGTATTCACATGAAACTATTTTTGGTTTTATTGTGTCCTCCCATATAATTTATATGTTGATGTCCTACCTGCAATCCTGCAAAAAAAAAGCTTTATTTGGAAATAGGGAGTTTGAAAAGATCATCCAGTTATAAAATTATATTAGGCTGGGTTCCAATCCAATATAACTTATAAACTATTGGAGTAGAAAATTTGATGAGGAAGAATGACAAATTAACACAAGATGGTCATCTGCAAGTCCTTTCTTCATGGTCTTCTGAGGGCTCCACCAGTGCCCATACTTTTATTTTGAATGTCTACCTGCAGGGCTCTGAGACAACACATTTGTGTTTATAACAGCTGTAGCTCCATCAGATGAAGACAGCTTTTGGTATCAAAAAGTGGGGTGCTGTTCCTGCAATAATATATGAAGCCAGCTTTGTGATTGATTGATGGATCAATGTGGGGAGATGTTTGGGAATCATGATAGAAGGAGCCCAGATGGCCTTGAAAAGATGGTGGGTAGAAATATGAACACTGACAGGTGATGCTGGTGAGGGCTCAGCAAGGAATGAGAAGAATGATGGAGATGTCATCTGTCTTGGAGAACAGAAATCACTGTGAGCACAATGTTCTTGGAAATGTGAATGCTGAGATGCTTGGGRGTAACAGTTCCAGTGGACTGTGGGCCAAAGACAGTGGAGGAAGGGCATCATTTTCTAATGATTCAGCACCAGGATTGATACAGTGATGGTGGCCTATAGTCTTCCAGTAATAATTAATTTTATCCACTCTTCATATGATTTTGTAATATCAAAAACTCACTCTTCTTCATATGAAGAGTGAGTTTTTGACATTACAAGTGTGACTTTACTTGTATATATGGCAGATGAATAAATGTAGTTATAAGGCTTCTAAGGAGTTTTTCAATGTTTTACAGGTAAACTGCTTTATTCTCTGAAATCAGCATCAATAAAAGAATAAATGGAACATAGAAACAATGAAACTTACTTTGTCCTCCTGGGACTCACACAGAATCCAAAGGAGCAGAAAGTACTTTTTGTTATATTCTTGTTCTTCTACATTTTGACCATGCTGGGGAACCTGCTCATTGTCATAACTGTAACCTTCAGTAAGACTCTGCACTCTCCAATGTACTTCTTTCTTGCTAACTTGTCATTTTTGGACATCATTTATTCATCAGTCATTTCCCCAAATTTGATTTCAAACTTGTTTTTAGGAAAAGTAATCATATCCTTCAAGTTTTGYATGTYTCAGCTYTTTGCAGAACACCTTTTAGGAGGGACAGAGGTCACTCTTCTGTTGGTGATGGCCTTTGACCGCTATGTGGCCATCTGTAAGCCCTTGCATTATTTGCTWATCATGAGGCCATGGGTGTGTGTGGTACTGCTGGTAGTCTCCTGGGCTGGAGGTTTTGTGCACTCTGTATTTCAACTTGGAACTATTTACAGGCTCCCTTTCTGTGGCTCCAATATCATTGACCACTTTACGTGTGACATGTATCCCTTATTGCAACTTGCCTGTGTTGACACYTATGTCACTGGCCTCTTAGTGATTGYCAATGGGGGACTGATGTGCTCTATTTTGTTTCTGCTCTTACTCATGTCTTATGGTGTCATCTTCCACTCTYTSAAGAACCTGAGTCAGGAGGGGAGGTGGAAAGCTCTCTCCACCTGTGGCTCCCACATCACWGTGGTTGTCCTCTTCTTTGTCCCCTGTATTTTCATATATGCAAGACCAGCCAAGACTTTCCCCATTGACAAGTCAGTGAGYGTGTTTTACATGGTCATAACCCCCATGCTGAACCCCTTCATCTACACTCTGAGAAACTCAGAGATGACAAATGCTATGAGGAAACTCTGGAAAAGAAGTCACATCAGGTAGGAAATCACTGAGTYTCCCACTAGAAAGAGAAATATTTCACTATGAAGCTGTCTCCTTAGGATGCATTATTTATTTCAGACTTAAAAAACTGGTGATAATTTTCTAAGGCATTTTTATAATCATAATTAAAGAATATAATATAGGTTTTGACATTAACATATTTCCCCAGTGTATTGCTCATACTGTAATATCTTGTTTACAAGTTACCTAGGAATTTTTGCTGCACATATACTAAGAAGTCAATAGAAATATGCAATCTATTTATGAACAAAATTTTTATATTATTATAAGGATTTGTATTTAATTTTTACATTCATTTTTAGTAACTATGTTGTCATTTATCATTTTATTTTTGCTTTTTTGGTCATTTTTCTATTATACTAAAGTGCTATATGTATCTTATATATATTTGATTTTACTAGCTTACATTTACTCGTTTGCTTTTTACTGTCTTGTCTCTCTTTTTTGTACATATTTTATATATATTTTGTATATATTTTGTATATATGTGTATATATATATATATATATATATATATATATATACACACACACACACACATTTTTATTTTTCATTTCACTTGGTCATTTGTGTAGATTCATTGATAGTTTTTCTTAATGTCTGAGGAGTCAATTATAGACATGTTGACCCTTTAGTCTTAAAACTCTAAGCCTTTCCAAAACTCAAGTCACTAGTTGAATAATCACAGCACAGTGCATAATCAACAAGTTGACACTGAGACAATGCTATTACACAATCCACACGGCTCATTTCTACTTTACCGACTGTCCCAATAACATCATCTTTGTGGCAAAAGAGAATACAATGTCACACATTGCATTTTCCTGTCATATGTAAAGCATAGATTTCTTTCATGGGAAACATTCCTGAGCCTTTTATTTTATTTTAGTTTTTTGCTGAATCCAAGTGTCCTCAAGTTGTTTTTCAGAACTTGCCTCTGTAGTTCACTCAATGTCACCTTCAAACTAGCATTTCAATAATAAATTCAGGCAACAAAACACCACATGTCTGTATTATAAACATTTTTTTTGCATGTGTGATAAACTCTTAATTCTCTACATGGCTCATGATAAAACTTCAGTCTTGAAAAGTATCATGTCACCTTTGAAGAGGTCAGGKGACCATCCAGGCCTGCATAAAAGAACACCAGTGTTCTCCTTCTCACTCTTCAAAGACTTGCAGAGTTCACGGCAGTTGTTTGGTGGAATGTCCTGTGTTCCTCTTTAGGTTTTTGTGCTGTTTCTTGAGGTTGAGGTTCAGGTTATGCCTTTAGTAGAAGGTTTTGCATGTGATCCTGAATTGCTCTTAGATACCATACTTGTGGTCATCACTGTTGGCTGAACAGTTACTTGCAATATCACATTTATTAATTGGCCTCTGATGGTATCTTCTTCTGTGCCTATTCTTGAAAAAAGAAAAACATTTTGAGCCAACTTTTAGTAGACTCTGGAAGCACTTCCTTAAAACAATTTACAGATAATTTGTTTTCCAGGAAATCAGTGGGCACGGTGGTGCACACCTACAATCCCAGCAGCTCAGGAGGCTGAGGCAGAGGATTAYAAGTTCAAATCCAGTCTCAGCATCTTAATGAGGTCCTCAGCAAAGAAGCAAGACCAATCTTAAATTAGACAATAATGTTTATAGCAGCTCAATTCACAATAGCTAGACTGTGGAACCAACCTAGTTGTTCCTCAATGGATGAATGGATAAAGAAAATGTGGTATTTATACTCAATAGAATATTACTCAGTTTTAAAGAAGAGTAAAATTATGGAATTTGCCAGTAAATGGTTGGAGTTGGGGAATATCATGCTAAGCGAAATAAGCCAACCCCACAAAACCAAAGACTAAATGTTTTCTCTAGTGTGCAGATGCTAATTTATAATAAGGTGGGGGGCATTTTGGAAGAATAGTGTTACCTTAGATTAGGTAGAGGGAAGTGTTGGGAGGGGAGGGGAGGGTATGTGGGGATAGGAAAGATAGAAGAATGAAACAGATAGTTTTACTGTATGTATATATGTGACTGCATGACCAATATGATTCTGCAACGTGTACACTCAGAAAAATGAGAAGTCATATCCCATCTTTGTATGATATATCAAAGTGCATAAATTCATTCTACTGTCATGTATAACTAATTAAAACAAATAAAAAATAAATAAAAAACAAGAATGGGCTGGGGATGTTTTGCTTAGTGGTCAAGCACTCTTGGGTTCAATCCTTGGTCCAAAAAAGATAGGCAATTTGTTTTTTAGGAACTTATGTACAGGTATGTCCATTAGTTAGCTGGTTCAATAGATTCTCCATTTGTTATCAAGAATGTCTTCTACATAGAAGAAAGAATAGTGAATTTATGTAATCTGTTTATTCTACAAGTCTGAACAAAGAATTTTTAAGGGACAAGTCTACCCATATTTGACCAGCCCAGGTTTTCATATTTTATGTGTTTTTTACTGGTGTTTGCCTGTAAAGGTTTTGAAGTGTCTCCTCCAACAGGTATAGCAGTAGGGGCAACTACTCTGTAGTGAGTATGTTGTGGGTCTGAAGTCTGCAGAGGGAGGCTGGTGGCATTGGGAGAGGCTCAGGCTGGTGGACAGGCAGGATGAGGGTCCTGTTCCTTTAGCTCACATGGTGCAGGATGCACACTCTTTTTACTGCCTGTTCTCAGGGTGGTAGGGTCATCTTTGATGACTAGAATTCCATTTGTGTTCCAGGTATTTTAGTTTTGACATGAAGACTCACATAAAGAGGAGGAATATTTTTTTAAATGACTTTAAATCATTGATCTTAGTATTTTGCTATTAAACATCATACTGACTTTGGGTTTAGAATTCATTCCTTCACTTAATGTTAAGAAAAAAATATACATATATTTATATATGTATATATTTATATATGTATATGTAAAATATACACATCTTTTATGTATTTTATATATGTATATGTAAAATATACATATCTTTTATATATTTACTTGATACATATAAGTATTTTTCAGAAAGTGATATAGCATTATGCTTAAGAATCTATTAAAATTTATTTAATATTTTTTTATTTTGGACCTATTTATGAATATAAATAAAGTTTCAATATTCAATTATACTTGTTCTTAGAATGCTAATTTTGGCCATAGTGCAGAAATGGAGAGATTTCCCATTATATCTATGACAATTTTTCTTTGTCTCTACGCTAGAGACAAAGAAAATGATTTTGAACACATTTGACAATAAAAAATAATTAATAAGAAACACTAAGAGATGGAAACAAAGAAGTTGATCTGTTGGATATTCCCTGCTTCTATGTCCAACTGTAAATACATATGTACCTAACACCTGATCACCTAAATATGCAAAAGAAATATTAGGTCTTAAGGGAGAGACAAACTCTAGTATAATAATAGATGATGAGGACTTATATTGCCTACTTTCATTAATGGACAGTTCATGTGGACAGAATATCAACTAAGAAACCTCAGACTTCAAGTAAATTATAGACCAAATGGACTTAACAAATATTTGTAGAACATTTCCTACAACAGTTGCAGAATTTGTGTTATTTTCATCAGCACACAGAACATTTTCCAGGATAGATCATAAATTAGGYCACAAAAGAAATCTCAGCAGATTTTTGAAATATCAAAATTATGCCATATTCCTTATCTGACTATAACAAAATAAGAAATCAACAACAAAGGGAACTGTGAGAATTGTGCAAACACATGAAAATTAATCAACCATGCTCTGAAACAACAAATGGATTAATGAAGATATAAAAAGGAAAGGAAATACTTCTTGACACAAAAATTGGCACAGAACATTTATAAACATATGGGATGAAATAAAAAAAAAAAGCATCACTAAGAGGAAAGTTTAGAGCTAGGGATGCAGCTTAGTGTGAGAGCACTTGCTTGGCATGTGCAAGGCCCTGGGTTGGGTCCCCAGCCTTGAAGACAAAAGCAAAACAAGGAAAGTTTATACCAATGTAAAATTGAATGATTTCAAAAAATAAAAATCACAGCATGAAAAATGTAATATTTAAAAAGTTTGACAAAATAAAGTTATTTTGAAAAGTTAAAATAATTAACAAAGTTTTAGTCAAAGCAAAGACAACCCAAATAAACAATATCAGAGATGAATAAGAAGATATTGCAACTGACACCACAGAAATATGGAAGATCATTAGTGATTCTTATAAAGAAGCAGCACACATGGACAAATTGCATATAGAAGACACAGATAAATTCCTGTGCACATAYAATAACAAGATTGAAAAGGGAAGAAACAGATCTAAGTTAAGCAATATTGAGTAACAAAACACAGTCAGTAATAAAAATCACCCTAGGAAAAAATAAATCCTAGGACTGGATGGCTTGATTGTAGAATGCTATCAAATTTTGKGKGTGTGYGTGTGGTGGTACTGAAGGTTGAACCCAGGGGTGCTTAACCCCTGAGYTATATCCCCAGCCCTTTTTATTTTTTTAATATTGAGACAGGGTCTCGCTAAGTTACTTAGGGCCTCTCTAAATTGCTGAGGCTGACCTTAAATTTGTAATCCTCATCCCTCAGCCACCTGAGTGGCTGGGATTACAGGCATGCACCATTGCACCTGGCTCTACCAATCTTTTAAGGAAGAACTAGTGCTTATTGCTCTCTGTTCCAAAAACCTAAAAGGGAAATATAATTCTTCAGACTCATTCTATGAGACCAGCATTACCCTGGAATTTGGATTTTTTTTTTCTTTTCAAATGAGATATGTTTTCACAGCACTTGAGAGTCAGCTATTTTTTCTTGGCAAGACCAAGTCCTTTTCCTCTAGGGATTGTTCAAGGGAGAGACCTGTTCAGGAGAGATTACTTCATTTGAATTCATTCCAAATATGCTAACAAGCTAATCTATTAGAAATAGAGATAATATAAAAAAAAGTCTCAGATGCTATCTGCACATTTAAGTGGAAGGATTATTTTCCTGACAGAATGATCCA